ATGCAACAAAGCGGGGTCCCCACAAGTGAGAGGAGCATTCCCCCTTCACTCCGCTGGCCAGCGCTGCCTCAAACTTTCCAAGCAAGGCTATGCTGCAATTGCGGTGTTTTGTCCGTGGCCACCGGGTTTATGGGACACCAGGGAGACCCCCCTTTTCCTCCCCTCCCCCTCCCAGCACAAGCATTTTGTTTTTCTTCTTGATTAGCGGAAAAAATTCCTGAACCTGTCAGAGGGAAGGAAGGTCTTCTCTCTCTCTCTCTCTCTCTCTCTCTCTTTCTCTCTCCTCGGCCAATTAGTGAAATACAAACAATTTCCATCATCACGGTGAAACGCTTTTTCCACCTAAATAACACCTCTGCAGGCTTTAAAGGTGCAGGCCCCTTTGCGCAGCCCCCCCATCCCCCACCTCGAGGGATGCCCTCCCAGGGCCACACCGGAGCGGGATGGGGGTGGCTGTTCCCCCCATCCTGCTGTACCCAACCACAAGCAGCCAGCCCAGGGCTTGGGCAATGCGGGCATCTCACGCAGGCACCTCCCAGGGCTTTTCCTCACAGACATCAAGCCGGTGTGTGCCGGGTCACGGCAAACCTCCCTGCCCCCCTGCTAATGCCCCGGCATGCCCAAATGTCAGCTCTCCTGGCTGCCCTGCCACCCCGCTGATGCCCACGGAGCCGGCCGGCATCCTCAGCTGAGGTCTGGGGAGCAGTAAAATTCCCTCAACGGAGGTGGCCGTCCCCAGGACCTCCTCTGCAACCTGCTGCGTGTTCATCGCTGAGCTCCCCTGCGCCCCCCTGCAGCCGGCCCTGCTCTGGGGGACCCCGGCCCCTGCCCTCCGGAGGAGCGAGTGAGCATCCCAGCTGCCCTGGGTGCTGCAGAGTGCCTCCTCACGGCCACCTGCCCAATTTAGGCAGCCAAAGCACTCCTGCAGGTGTTCCGCGTGGTTCACACGTGACCCCATGTGCATATTTTGGGCTGTCCATGTGCCGGACCCTCATGGGGCAGCATCTGACGTCACCAGGGGAGCAGATCATCTGTGGGACATCCAGAGCCCTTGGGCCAGCCGTCTCCTGGGTGCCCTGGGCTGCCGCTGGGCACGTGTGTCTCAATGAGGACTTCTCTCCCGGAGCACACCTTGGTTCATTAATCATTGCTTTTCCTGCTCTGACCTCATTTGATTTGTCCCTGCCACCATCGCTCGCAGCTGGCTCTGCGCTGCAGGGACCAGCAGTAGCTAACACCTTCTCCTCTGCGCTTCTCCAGCTCTGTGCCAAGATTCGTACTGAAAAAAAATAGTTTCTCTTCAGGAAGAAAACACCTGAGCAGGGCCTGGGGCTGGGGAGCAGAGCTTGCCTTCACTGACCGTGTCGGCCAGCGGTGGCCAGGGCTGAAGGTCGGGGCATTTGGGGACTTGGGAGTTTCCAAAGCTGCCGGGGCAAGACCTGCAGCGGGGCTGCTTGTCCAGCATCTCTGCACCATCCATCCTTTGTTTTTGCAGTGCGTGCAAAAAAAGAAATCCCAGCAAACATTTTGAAACGTGCATCGACTGTCATGCCACAAACCTCCCTGCTGCCCGGGTCCCCGCCGTGTTTGGGTTGCTGCTTAACCGCATGCACACAGTTTCTTTTACTGAGTTTGTAATGACGAGGGAGCTGTTTCCCTCGAGGCTGCTCTCCTCCCGGCTTCGCCACGGCCTTTACTGTGAACCCAAGGCAGTCCATCACGCCGGAGAGTCCTGTTTGGTATCTGCCTGGCTGGCTGGGGGAGGAAAAAGGGTGGGTGAGCCCTGCCTTAAGTCTATATTTTGATCTCTTCACCTCCCTGGCTCCTCTGCCGAGAGTCCCCCAGATCCACAGCTGTGACTGAGGGTGTCATGTTAACCCAGTGCTTGCACCGCTTGCAGGGAGGACCCGGTGTTTGGGGTTCCCTCCACTTCCCACCCTCTTCCCGCTCATGTTTTGGGGGGCTCTGTGGTTCCTTTAACCCTGCAATGAAAGCCAAAACCAGCTAAGGCTGCCTGGCTTCCTTGCAATGTCTTTCAAGATGGGAAATTCTCAAGACTGCAATGAGTTCACTTGGTCACGGGCAGATCACAGCTCGGCGGGGGGGCAGCACCATTTGGTCATGGGCTGCATGGAGGCGAGTGGGGAACAGCTGCGCGCTCGGACGAGGGGGTTTTGTTGGTTTTTTTTTCCTAAATAGCTTTTAATTCTTCATATTTTCCTCCCTCTTTGTACCCTACTTTGCCTTTGGCACAGCTGGCTTCTCCACCCCCAGGGCCCACCAGGCACTGGTGCACGGGCGGTGAGACGGGGCCACCCTCCCACACATCCCCATCCCACCCCAGGATCCTGCGGGATGGCAACGGCTCCCACCGAGCCCTCTCCCAGCCGCATCTGGAGCGTGGGCAGGTCGGGCAGAGGGGCAGGGCAGCTGTCGTGGGGGGCACGGCTTATGCCAGGGAGGTGCGAGCCCTGCACGGGGAGGGGAATGCCTGCGTGAGCTTCGTGCCACATGGCTGGGCTGAGGAAGGCTCTTCCTTGGAGCCACAGCCAGGCGTGGGGGTGAGCTTAAGCCGTTCGTATTCCTGAGCGCCCATAAAATAAGCAAATGGTCAAGGGTTTTCCTGGGCCCGGCGAGGAAACTCTTGCAAACTGATTTTTCGTTTCATTTAGCCATGCGGCAGCTTTAGCGTTGCAAACCCTCAAGGCTAAAAAGCCTGAAGCCTGGCTTTAAACCGCGGGGCTTTGCTTTCTGTCCCTGAATAGCCCACCACTTCGCTCTCCCATCCGCCTGCCGCTTTTGGGAGCTGTGTTCTCACAGGAGGACCCATTACCGAAGCCTCTCTGCCGCCTTGAAGGCTGGACACGTTTCCTCCAACAAAAGCTGAACCTCCCGTTGAATGACACATCCCGAGGCTGGGCCTTTAGGTAAAGCAGCAGCCGAGCAATCAAGCCAGGGAGAGCTGCCAAGGCTCCCCGGCTCCTCCGAGATCTCCTGTAGCTCCGGGCGAGCCAAGCTGGCACCCCGGCGCAGCAGAGATGCTTCCTGGCGGCGTGCTGCAGCCCTCCTGGGGCTTATTGCGGGATTCATTTCCCAAGCTTGGCTTTGC